GGAAAACAAAAAGATATTTACATTACGATTCATAACAGTAGCAAAATTACAGTTATAGAGTAGCAACGAAAATAATTTTATGGTTGAGGGTCACCACAACATGAGGAACTGTATTAAGGGGTCGCGGCATTAGGAAGGTTGAGAACCGCTGCTCTAGAGATTAAGACTATTCTACCCTTAAGGCACAGATTTCGAATCATCCTATTACATCCTATCACTTTGAGCTGTTTGCTCTAAAGTAATTGAAACACAATCAAGTACTTTTTTTAAAAAGCTTTCTATTATGCTGTGGGATTTAAACTAAGAATTATAACCAAAAGCTGATCTTAAGAACTGATACTTTAAAGAAGTAAGTAGTTTATTGATTTCTCAAAATATCCACACAAGGAACCACTGATTTATAAACATCTAGAAATACACATTAAAATACAATGTAGATATATATGAGATAAAATTCTTTTTGCTTTTTTTTTTTCTTTAACACACGGTTGATGTCATCTGTGCCTAGTCTTGGTCTTATAATTTCAAACTCAGTGTTCACCATTGACACCGATGACAAAGTAAGAAAAGTCCTTTACTAAATAAGCTTAAAGGTGTGAGGTACTAAACCATACTAGAAATTTAAATCACCAAGCCAAGTAATAAACCTCATGACAACACATTAGTATATTTATTAATATAAGTAAGAGGACATTTTAGAAAATTTATATAAAGTTAGGTCAAAAGAATATTGTTTGAGGGCCGGCCGAGTGGCGCGTTGGTTAAAAGCTGGCTTGGGACACCAGCTCTGAGCAGCAGGGCCCCAGTTCGGATCCCACATATGAGGGCCAGTAACACTGCCCTCTACAGCTAAGATGCTGAACAACAACTCGACCTGGAGCTGGGCTGCCGTGAGTCGCTGGCGACGGCGTAGGCTGCAGCCCCTGCTGCAGTGGGCTGCCATCAACTACTGTGTGTGGCCGGCAGCCAGCGTGAGCGACTGGCAGCTGGTGTGAGCTGCCAAGAGCCGCCGTGAGCAGCAACCAATCTGATCTGCCTCATCCGGGAAGAGGGCAATGATAATACCAACATGGGCCAGTGAAGCGACGTCCTCCACAACTAGACTGAAGAACAAAAGGACAGCTACTTGTCTGTTCCCCTTCCCCTGATTCCCCAGCACTGTTCCCCTCCCCCAATTGCCCAATAAAAATCTTTAAAAAAAAATATATATATATTGTTTGAAATTAAACATAGAATTTCCAGATTAGCCAATTAGGCTCAGGCATGACTGAGATCAACCAAAACTGTCAGCTGTAAATTATCTCATACAGAAATTTTATTGTGTTGCGGGAGTCTCTAAATATGTTTTTGTTCATATACTTTGAATGGCTGAAAAGGAAAGACATAATTTTTTTTCTTTGTTTTGAATTACAACAATGTACCTTGGAAACACAGCAATTTAATCAAAGAATAAAATAATTATCATTAATACCTGTTTTCTCAATAAAAGGATCATATGAAATATGTAACATAATTAGATTCACTTATCTTTAAAGAGATATGATTTTAAAAAGGCATTTAATTATATTTCCTAAAAGTTTCAAATAACATTTATGTTTCAAATAAACATTTACAAAAACACACACAATAAGAAGCATGGCAAGAGACTCGGGTCATAATTGAACCGTGCAATTCATTCATTAAAGCATGGCATAGTGCTCTTGTTCTAAATCCAAAACCAAAATGGTGTTCTTAGAGTGCCACCTGCTGGAAAAGCATGCCTCTCTTTGTTGAGAAAGAAAAAAAAAAAAAAGGGTAGTGAAAAATTCCTTTCAGAAATTACCAATATTTGTTTTATTCTCAGCCAAAGAACTTGCTGGAATGTTGTTATTTTGGATCTGAGATTTGAAAGCTAAAAAAATTCAGTTATTTAAAACAACAGTTCCTATTTGTTTCTTTGAATATTATAATTACAAAAGAAATACCTCTGGAAACAGCATTCAAGTAAAAAAATGTTTTTATTGAATTATTCAGATCAAAACTATTTAACTATATTAGCTCATCATTTATGAGCCAAATATGCTAGTTCTAAATGAACACAGGCAATAATCTATGTACTTCTGTATATGGACTTAAGAAAAAAATATATGAAAGTAATAATCTCATGACTGGAAACTAAGCTGCCTTTCCTCTCCTCCTGTGAGAAGGTGAACATAATAAAGGCTGCATTAGGTTGAGGAAAGCACAGACCTGGTTCCTAACCCACATTGCTCCTTATTGCCTGTGTCACCTTGGGTCATTTACCTAACCTGAGTCTCTCTTTTCTTATCTTTAAAATGAGGATAAGAGCTCTCTCTCAAGGCTGTTATAAAGACCAAACTAGATAAAATATTTGAAGCTCCTAATATGGTACCTAAAACACATATATACTTGAAACTACAGTAAAACCTTGGATTGCAAGTAATGTAGTTTGCGAGTGTTCTGCAAGATGAATAAACATTTGTAATACATTTTAACATGGTAAACGACCAATGTCTGGAATATGAGTAGTTTGTTTCTGGAACGAATTATGCTCGCAAACCAAGGTATTACTGTACTCTTTTTATTTTCCCTTCCATAGCTGTCTCTTGAGGAGAAAGGGGGAGACAGACAGCTACTATTCTAGGGGAAAATGAGGCACCTCCATCATTCAATCAGTTTTATGGAGTTAAAATGACAGTTTATAATCTGCCATCCTTCAGGTAAGATATTTATTATAGTAAAATAAAACAGGCTTTAAGTCCCTTTAAGCATTACCACAAAATCCTGGTACAGAGTAGGCATTCCAGAAATATGTGTTGAATGCTTAGGTGACTGCAGGATAAGTTAAGCCTGTAGCCATACAGAGGAACTCAAGGAACGAACGTACATCCTTCTATGTTGTACCAGGCTAGTACTTATTAGCTATATTCTTAGGCCAAAACAATAAGATGTTATAACAGGAAACTATTAGAAAATTAAAACTACGTATGACTCCCTTGACACTTTAATTACTTTCTATCTCCTGGAGGGAAAGAAAAGAAATTATTAACTGCCTTTTTTTTTTTTTTTGGTTAAAGGAGCAATTATACAAATTTTGTGTGTCTTCTTTTATTAATACTTCACAAGTATCAACACTCTCATCAGCTCAAATGACAATCTACTGTTGATTTACATTTCTAAATCAAATGTCTGTGAAATCAAGGGGCCTGGAACTTTCATTTGGATCTATAGAGAGAGCATTCTAATCACTGTTGCCAGGAGGCTTTACAGAAAGTACAGTTTCATATACTTAATGGAATTAATCTCAAGCCAGTTCAGTAAACTTCCGGAAGTATAAACTTTCTAATCAGAAATCCCCGGACCACAGAAAATGATAAGATCCTCACTAAACCTTTTAAAGCACCAAGAAGAAAAATGTGGGTTCACTGAGTAGACCTTTAAGCCCCTTTAGAACTCTGAGATCCTTTGACTTCACCAGGAATAAAAATTTTTTCAAGACCCAAGATGTTTTTAGGCTTAACCTAGATCTTAGGGCCCCCTTATTAAAACTGAATTTTCAGGAAAAAAAACTTCAGAATTCTTAGAACTATCAGTAATTCAAGGATCAATTGCAATTTAATTATTCATTCATTCACTCTCTCAACAAATGTTGATGGAGGGCCTGCTACATGTCAGGCGCTGCTCTTAGTGCTTGGACCACAACACTGAACAAAACAAAGATTCCAGCCTCCACGGGGAGATGGACAATAAATAATAAACATAATAATTCATAAATCATGTAGTAAGTTAGAAGGTGATTGATACTACAAATAAGAAAAGGAGGACTAAGAGTGCCAGGAAGGCAAAGGCAGGTATCAATTTTAAATATAATGTAAGACTCATTATAAAAGTCATATTCGAGAAAAGACTTCAAGGAAGCAAAGACATTCATTAGCTCTGCAGATGTCTGGAGGGGCAATATTTCAGGAGGAGGATCCAGTCAGCACTAAGGCTCTGGCGTAGAGTGTGTTTGACATGTGTGATTAAAAAGAAATAAATAAAGCAAGCCAGTGTGGCTAGGATAAAGTGGAAAGTTATAAGGACGGAGACACGAAGGATAGAGTGAGCGGATCAAGAACTTCCTGTGCAATGAAACCATTGCTAGGTCCCCATATAAAAGCATTTCTCCCCTGGACACTCAGCAAAATGAAAAGTTGGGAAGCAAACTTGTGATTAGTTTATTAGGTGAATTGGCGAGAAGTGTTATTCTCATTTTCACTCCTTACCTCCTAAGCCCATGTACTCTGTCAATGGGAAA